AGTTCTAGCCTTCACAGCCTCCTGCAGCAAGGAGTTCCACAGGTTGACTCTTTGCTTTGTGAAGAACAACTTTCTGTTACTAGTTTGAAGCCTGCTACCCATTCCTTTCCTTTGGTGTCCTCTAGTCCTTCTTTATGGGAACTCAGGAAGAACTTTTCTGAATGCACCCTCTCCACCCAACCCCTGCTTTTAGAGACCTCTAGCCTGTCCCCCCTCCGTCTCCTCTTTTCTAAGCTGAACAGTCCCAGTCTCTGTAGCCTTTCTTCATCTGGGACCTGTTCCCAACCCCTGATCATGTTAGTTGCCCTCCCTTCCCCCAGCCTTTCTCTTCCCCTCCCCCACCTCCTTTGCCCAGTCTCCCCCAGTTTTGTTCAACAAAGACAGAGTCAATGTTGGAAGAAATGTTATCTTTATTTTGTACATCAATAAGAAGGGGGGCTAGGGAAGGGTAAGTGGAAGGAGGTGAGGGAGGAATGGGGTACGAGCCCCCGATGGGGAGGACTGGGTTGGCTCTGCGGGCTTCTGGGGGTGGAAGCTCTCCTGCAGCCCCCCAATTGCCTCCTCTCCCCAGATGGCAGCCTGCGGCAAGTGCAGCCAGTCTGATGGCCGAGTGCTGTGATGTGCCCAGTGTGGGTACTCCGCGCAATCCAAGACAGGACTGCTTTGCAAGCGGGGCACCCCTGAGAACTGTCTGTCCGGGGTGGGGGTCGGGACCCTTTAAACACAACCCTCGGCTAGCCTGAGACAGCATCTCCATGCTCTAAGTCCTCCTCTGATGCCCTGCCGGCACTGCTTCCGGCCATCCTTAAGCCCGGTTCAGGGTCCACTTAATGTGGACATGCTAGCTCGAATTAGCAAAACGCTGATTCGAACTAGTTTTTTAGTTTGGATCCGTTAGTTCGAATTAGCTTAGTTCGAATTAACTAATTCGAACTAAGTTCGTTCGAATTAACGTTGTAGTGTAGACGTACCCAGAGAGACCTGCTGTTACCTTCCAGGACACAAGAATCAAATCATCACTTTAAAAAAGTGATTTTTATTACAAAACAAAATATATACTTGATTGATTGCTAGGTATTACAGAGCTACTAAGGAAAACAAAACACAGAGAAAACCTCTGGGAACAATTCTTAGATAGTGAATGGGGGAGGGGAGGCATAGATTCACACAGAGCAGTTCAAACCAAACCACAAAATAA